CATGGCGTACTCGATGGCTGGTCAGCGGTACATTCTGAGTTCAGTCCATAAAAAATTTGCCCTGCCAAATATGTTGCTTAACGGTACCTAGGGGTATGGCGGATTGAGCCAATACTCGTTCGAGTGGGTGAGGTGGCGATACTAAATCGACTGTTTCACACTTAATGTCCTTTAGAAGCCACAGCGCCTTAAATTCCTCTGTCAACATGGTGAGACCATTGATAAACATTTCAATGACGTAATTTTTTCTTTCAGAATTGACTGGAGTGATCGGAAATTCCTGGACGAATCAGCGTACAATCCGGTTGAGAGCAATGGTCATTCGCCGAGGTTTGAATCATGACCTTTCTTTCTTTGTTTTCCCTTTCCATTGAAAATGTGTCATCGACCCCTCGGTTTCGTAGCTGTTAACAACATCCGCTTGACTGGCTGAGAGGGTCAAAGTGCTAAATGATGGGGAGATCGTTCCTGTAAGTCAAGAGCGCTACAAGCAGGTCCAGCGGTGAGATCTAGCCTAGTCAGGCAAGGGTGTTGTAATTCGTGATTTTTAGGAAGAAGCGTTGGATTCGGAAAATTAGGACGGTACAAGTGTTAGGTGGTAGAGGAGAGATTTGTCAGAATTGTGATAAATTTCGCTAAAGAAACAAAAATGGTGAACACTCGAAGAAAGTTGCGAAATTTACCGTTCCCACAGTTACATACAGGGGGTATATCGCTCAAGTCGAGCACTTTCGGAATTTTGGGAGTGGAGTTTGACGTATGTCATGTTGAGCTAGATCCAACGACGCTACGACACTTCCACTCTTACAACACTACACCATCAAAGCAGAACAAGATAAAGGGTCGGGTATCTGAGAAATCGGGCTGACTTCACAATCACATATCAAATTGAACAGTCCATGGGAGCGAAGGCAGCCGATCTCAGTCGAACCTCTTATCACTCACCAAACCTGCGAAAACTTAGAAACAGCGATTCGAGCGCAGGATGAAGGATCTAAATGGTTTAGATAAGCAATCAAATTCCTCCACAGTTTTACTGAAAACCGAACACGTGGCGCATCATAAAGAAACCCGGTTGGTCTCCCGGCAACCGCCATCCTAGCTTTACATGTTCCACTGCGCTCTCCTTCACTTGTGAGAACAACACCTCTTGGACGGGACGATTATGTATAAAAAGGTGTTTTATTTAGAAGCGAGCATAACACAATCATTGAATGACATTAAAATGACATTTAGATGGACCTTAGCCCCATAGACGATGGATTTCCTTCTCCCCCTATCTTCCCCTACTTCTTGCGCTGCCAGCTGCCACTGCAGCACCACTTGGAATGACAAAGAGTGTTTTAGGAGCTCATATAGCTGTTGGGACACTATCACACTGCAAAACATCGGTAGCTCAAGTCCTGGGAGCTGTCCGATTTTTTTAGTGTTTGTTTACCATGAGCTTCCTTCTCACTTCATTTTGCGGACGGACACACATACATACAGACACACATACAAACCACACATCAAAATAGCGATATATTACTGATGAGCAGGGAGAGGATATCCTTTCGTTTGGTCTTCGTCTAAGGGCACGTGCGAAACGGAGACTAAACTCCTCTTTGAATCCCACCCCATAAATAAATAAATTCTGAAAAAAAGTACGTATCACAATAATTGAGGTCGAAAAACAAAAGCAGAAGCACTTTTGCTTTGCTTTTGCACTAAACTTTTACAAACGGAACATTTTATTGATATACAAAATCAGTAATTTTATCATATCATGGAAGGATCAGCTAACCCATACAACTTTGTCCTTTAACTCCAACCTGAACTAAGGCTGCAGAAAACCACTTCTCTCTTTTCAGTGGATGAGGCCTCCTTGTTGCTCTCGAGAAACCAGACCTTTTTCAGGTTAGTTCTAAGCTCATGGAGTGAATGCTCAACGACGTGTGGTCCTGGAGTGCAAACGCGTTCCGCAGAATGCATGGCTGCGCATCCTATCGCCGGAATGATTCGTCTACCGTATTCCGAGTGTCAATGTATGCGTTTGACATTCATCTTTCAACATGTGTCTGCACTGCTGCACGACCAATTGCTCAGACTGAATCCCTTGAGCTTTTTTTGTTCCAGCACAATCGCAGCCGTCACTTTTCGAACCATGCGAGGCTCGTCCATGTCCGCTTCAAGAAGACTCGAAAACCAATCATGAAGAGGTGCCATTCAAATGGGAGAACGGTGACTGGGGACCATGTTCAGCCAGCTGTCTAGGGGGTAAGGTCGCCATACCAAGAATACTGCCATGATACTATCCGAAGTGTTCCAGGGAAGCAAAAAGCGGCTCTTCTGTGTCGAGAATCAGCCACCGGTCGCGCTGTGCCGTGGTCTCAGTGCGACGCGAGAACTCGTCCACCACAACTCGTCCGTCAATGCAATCAGCATGCTTGCCCACCACTCTGGCAGGTATGACTTTTACACTTCGTTATGTTGCCGTCGATCCGGATCATGCAGAATCATTCAGGTGGGAGGTTTCGGTGCTTGTTCTGTATCTTGTGGTGGCGGCACGAGCACTCGTACGGTAAAGTGTGTACGGCCAGTGAGTCGCAGTGGAGGTGAGTACCTTAATCACATTTGAACAGACCCTTAGACCTTTTTGCGCAGGAGCAAAATATGACTATTGAAATTGTTATATAAAACCAAAGATGGCAAGTGTTAGGCCGCGAGATAAGCGAAAGTGGAGGAATCACTGAGATTGCCCGAAAATAAAACCATTCTCACACAAGTTAGGCATTGCACGAGCACACGTCGATGAGCGTGCACTTTCGAGCGAGAGACTCAGACGGTGAAGGGTCAAGATAGAGAAGTACCGAGAGAGACGCAGATGCCAATACGAGCCTGCATCGTGAATATGGACTGCAAAGAATGGATGTGCGCCCGGAGTGGATTTTAAAGGACGAATTCACGATGAAAAAGCAACCCATTTCAAATTAAACCTAGGGATGGTGAGTGGTACACGAAAGAAGGAAGAACCATGAGAAACGGCCCAGAACCCGAGAAATGGTACCCCTTCCTTGCCCGTTGATTCGAGCATTGATGCGACTCTCATCGCTGTGCCCTCTTCAACACTACGCTCTCTCAGCTATCTAATCACTCGCCACGTATTGAACTACGGCGAGTGATCAGATGATCGGTGGGCGGAGATCGCCAGACCCGCCAGCTTTGAGGCATGATAGGTCGCCGAGGTCAAATTTTTCCATGCGAATTGCGCGTCAGTTCGCACCCTCAGGAGGTCCGTGGGTCCCTCAACTAGGTCAGTTTCCCTTTCTTCGACCTTCATTCTAATCGTGAATTCCTCCTTTAAATGCTGAAGTTGCCTCCGACGACTAATTTGTTTCTCTTTCGAACACCCATCCAATCTGTGATCTCAAAACCTTGCTCATCGCGTACAGGGCATAACATATGGCATATAGGTTTGCTCTCCCTTCCTCTATGATAAATCGGCCTCCATTTACGAAACGAGTAATTTCCTTATTTCCTACATGATGACCTGTTGTTGAGTGTATTCTGGCTCAAAAGAAGAAGCAGAGGGCGCTGATTATTTGCTTTCTCGTATGCGCCACGTGTCCTCATCTCCTCAGAATTATGTTCGTGTTTGAATGCGTTTGGGGACGGTCAAGTGATGGCCAACCGATGTACAAGCAAAGTTTTTTGACTGCCCCATATGGTTGTGGCACTAATTAAAGGACCTCAAGGGAGTGATAGGTTCGATTTTGCGTATGGTATGAGGCTCCACTTGCCACCACACGCTTCGGCCACAGAACACCGAAAATTTGAAGTAAACCGCTGCTCAGCGCCTCTAACAAAAGGAAAACAAAAGGAAACGTAGCAGCTTTTGAGATTTTGAAGTGAACTTCCCCCTAGTAAGAACTTCCATTGTACGATTCCGTTAAGTTAAGAGATCCTGGTTTGTTTATTACGCCGTTTCCTTGAAGTATGCCGCGAGGAGTTTTATTTGTTCGACCCTTCGAACGGAGTTTCAAAAAAGCCTTTTCAAGAAGGTTAACAACTGTTGTTTGTTATTAACAGCAAACACATATCTCAAAGGAAATGGTAAGAAAAGAGTTGCTGAATGTCGCTCCTTCTGGCGAAATCCTCATCAATTTCTTTCTTCGAAAAAGGATCAAAAAAGTTGAACTATTGAGTATGAGGACCTCATGCCAATGTGAAACGCTCATAAGGACACTGGAAACCCTTCCAACTGAACACGCGATGGTCCCCTTTACTTTTATGAAACATGGAGGGCTTTCAGAATGCTCTCAGAATCGCTGCTTTCCGATAGTTTCCCAATCGTAGGATGCTCTGGGATTTCTCTGATGGAATACACGAACACATCGCGTATTTGACTTCCACTGTACAGGCTGAGTACAAGGCAAACCCCGGGATGAAGTGGATGAGCAATAGCATTAAATGGTGAAGTGGGGGAAGGGGTGAAGAGTGATCTTAAAAAGAAAACGAAGAGCAAAAGAATCCACCGATCACACTCAAACAAGCCCCTCCCATTCAGCACCATTGGAGGGGAAGTGGCGGACGAGCCATTTGAAATAACTGCATTACTTCCTGCTTTTCGATTTTATTAATATCTGATCTATAGCGCTATTAGCTGCTATGTCGTAAGCCACGTTCCGTGTAGCCGCGCTGATATAGTTACAGTAAGCGTAGTGCGCCAATGGTTGCTAGTCCCTTACTAACAACACGCTAAGTGCGCATCTGAGTGGTGGTGGTAGCACGATTTCTATATTTACAGGGCCCTTGGACCTTACCCTTTCAATCGAAACTGCTTGCTATTAGTAAGGCCGATCTCAGGGATTGCCTATCGAAAATGATCGCTGACCTTCGACCTTCACACACCTTCTGTATTCGAATTTGTGAATTGCTACGGCCAGATGAAATTCATTTATTATATTAACTGTGATTCGGCTTCGGGCTGGGGAGCTTAAGCTAGGGAAGATTCTATGGAGTGAGAAATAGTGGAGCGACATGAGGTTACTGTGTAACACTACGGCAGCGTATGGGTGCTGAGATATTAGAAGTGAGTTACAAAAATGATGTTGGGTCATAGAAAGAGCACTGCCCAGCCGGACCTCGAAGTCGGGTTCCATTCTTGGCTACAGTAAAGGTTTAGGTCCACAAATCAACGTGCTTGTGATAACTTTCATTTCACGACCGGCTGCGTAAAACAACAGCTGACAAAGATGTATCTCAATCAAGTGATTAGTTCACTTCATTTGAAGGCATGGGTGCCTATCAGATACTTAGAGAAATAACTAAGTTAACTAAGTGTAACGGCGCAACAAGGTAGCTAATGTGCTTTCCCGCTGCGGCATGCTCGTCAAGTGCGGTGTGCGTAGCGTCTCCGTCTTCCCGCGTACAACGTGCTTGTTCGTGTCTTCCTTCTTCTCGCAACGCCGCGTCTCTAATTTGTAGCACCGGTCGACCTTACAAGAAGAATTGCAATTTTTTTCCATAGGGCTTCTTGCTTTTGCCCCCACCAATGTTCCTCATCACACTTTTTGCATAATTTTCTAACAAAATAGCACACTAATTCAATCGTTCCCCGTGCCTTTAAGGTAAAGCATAGCTTCACAATGTTATGGTAGCACTTTTGGCCGGAAAACATGGGGCTCGAGTTCGATTTCTGGCTCGTGCAAGGGTTAGGCTTACAATTCTGCATATTTGTCACAACTATCCCCCACCTCTGCGAAAATATTACCTCTCAAAAATGAATCTATTTCGAGTTCTTACAATTTACTTTAAAGGCAAAGGTCGGGCTCAGCACGCTAGAGAAGTAATTTGCCGGAGGTTGTATGTGAGTAGCTGCACACATTGCAGCAACTTCCCACCTTGAAAAACGTCGTTAAGGCCCCGGGGCCGTCGGTTTCAATCCGGGCCGCCTGGTCAATCCGGGACCGCCCACCTCCGGAAGTGGTGCGTGGCTGGCATAACGTGTGAAATCAACTG